GCTTTATACTTGTCCTGACCTGCTTTGCTGGATCAGGGTATACTTAAAAGATTTTATCTTATATCCAGCTCTAAGCCAGCAGGCCCAATGGAAAAGTTGAGGATTATTAAAAAAAGCAGGCTGCTTGCAGTTCTGTATCTTCAAAATGAAAGTAAAACAAACTTCCAAATTTGAAAAGGACTGACTTTTTATTTTGTTTTTTTAATGTGTTGCAAACCAGATTTTTCAAAGAAGTTTGTCACTATATTCAGCAGCTGAGCCTGGGGCTTGAAGTAAATTTGCCAATGTGCAGGGATCATTAATGCTGGCTGGAGAGCAGTGCAGCACTTGTTTCTTGGCAAGAAATCATGTAAATAATCAGCAGGGTCCCAGAAGGTCATTCTCCTTCAAGTGTTGCCTAAAAGGCTTTTGCTCTTTTTCTTTCCTCTGTTTGAATTGATCCTGTCCAACAGGGTCTGGCTTTGTACATAAATCCATGCTTGAGCTTTCAGTCTGCGCTCTGGCTGCGCTAAGTTGACTCATACTTTTTGGTGTACAAAACTCAAAACATATTCCTAGTTGGACAATGCTGATATTTACTAGAGCTGTGCCCTGAAAAGCTCTTCTCCCTTGCTGCACTGCCCATTGTGTCTGTAACAGCTGGTTCAGGCTCCTGCCTCGCTCTGTGCTGTATTGCTCCACAATGGGATATGGCAAGGCTTGGCAGTACAGAAACAGCTCAAACTTCTGCCTCTGAATTAGTTGGTCATGGCTGGTAAATTCCACTCTGTTCCCAGTGCCAAGCAAAATGAAGAGCTAGCCCTGGAAAAAATGCACTGCTATAAGCTTGTACTAGATAAACCCTTTGTTTTATGTACTGAAGAATTTTTAAGAAACTCTTTTCTATGTCCAGAAGCTGAAGTGTGCTCCTAAAATTAATCTGTTTGTCATGATCCTGGACCTTGATATCATGCTTGTAGGGAAAAAAAATCTAGGTAACTGGTTCCAGTTTGTTTTCAATTTATCTGATCAGTATAATCTGGTGTAGAAGTCATTTGGAAAAAAACAAAGCCCTGAAGTCCTTTCTCCTTCCCTTTTTTCTGCCCTGTTAGGAAATCTTGTGTTTGGACTCACCAGTGTCTTACAGCCCTGATCCTGCTTTTACCAAGATCAGGACTAAGGTGCCTCCTGAAGAGTTTTCAAGTATTCTTCAAGTTGAAGAAATAAACAGTGCTTGGATCTCTATTCCTTTGTCCATGTTACTGAAACAGAGATAACTGTTTTGAATTTGATCAAAAGTGAATTAATAGAAAATGTGGTTATAGATATGGTTGTCAGGTAAGCAAAAAATCTGTACACTGAGAACATTTTCAATATTTGATTTTAGATTAATGTGCTACATTTCCCCTTTCAGCTGACTGAAGAACTTTCAGTATGGGGAGGAGGCGGACCCATCCATATTTTTCAGTTGACTGGTTTCTGAAGAAAAGTGAAAATCCTCTGAGATTATGTGTACCTTTTGAATTGTTGGATCTGGAAAGTTTTAAGGGATGACAAGTAAACATAAAATTTAGTGGATCACGTCATTCTACGTGAAGTGAGGTGTATGCATTTAGGTTAATGCAAAATATTTTTTTGCACTTCAATAAGCAATATTTCAAATAAAATCCTGTAACTTAAAGTATTATATCCACTCTGGTAGTGCTGGTTTTCAACTCTGAATCCAGCCAGAGACACATAAGTGCATCAATGAGTGAGCAAAATTGCTTTTGACTTTGGTCAGAGTAGGTTTTCACAGGACAAACAAGTGTTTGACTTAATAACACTGATCCAACCCTCCTTTATTTGGAACGCAACATGGCAACTTTCATACCCACCCAGAAAGGCACTCTTGTTCCAAGGTCACATCACAAAAGTGTATACAGAATAAACTATGTGTTCAATTTATCTATGTCTGGGGGACAGAAAGGGGAGCTGACCCTGCTAGATCTTGATCCAGTTGTGCTTTCACAGCCAGGTACTGCTGTTGGGGTAATGACACTCCTGTGCTCCTGGGATAATGAGTGTCAGCATGATTCTTCTCCAACTGGCCTCAAATGCTTTTTTTCAAGACATGTAACTGTTCAATGGCCCATCAGGATGTGAACTGTTAGAGTGAGTGCTTTGCCTTGCATGAGCCCCTGATTTTTCTGAATATTTCAGCTGCTTCTTCCTCTGCTTTAATGGAAATAGATGCTAATGTATATGGTGGTTGCAGAAACTCATTGCTGTTGCATCGAAAGAGCCACGTGAGCGTTGAGCAGTGACAATGCTGTGGACTGTGATGGAAGCTAAGAAAACCTACACTGAGGATTCTAGGTTTAAAACAAAACCTAACCAACAAATAATTGTAGATTGTAGGAACTCATTTCAAAATTAGCAAGAAGCCCACCAAAATAATTAATTGTCCTCAGACATGAACCATGTGCAACATTTTGTTAATATACACTTTGTTTCCCAGAATTTCTTGTTGAGAAATATTTGTCTTCAGGGAGCAGGGGCATAGGAAGTTGGGAGTACTTCTGGTATTTGGACTGTTCTTAAAGTTTACTGGGGTTTTTTTGTGTGCATCTTTTTTAGCTATATGAATGAAAGCTGCAGCTCTTGTACAGGTCCAGAATGGTGTCCTTCTGTTATGCAGAATGGTGTCCTTCTGTTATGTTAACAAATGGCAGCCTGATGGAGTAATAAATAATTTATGAACTTGGGATATTGATTTTTCTTCAGTGCTTATAGGAAATTATACGCTTGTGGCTTCAAGAAATAATTGGTCCAATTTAATCGCATAAAAATTATAGTCTTTTTTAATTCTTTTCAAATGGAAATTTAATGACCGCTGGGTGTGTTACAGAACAGAAGTGAGGATGCCTGCATGGACTGAAGGAATAGGAGGGCTAGAAACAGCAGGTTTTACAGGTCTAATAAAAAAATTATCGCTATGGCAATGGTTTTGAATGAAGGCTAATGGACACTTGTCTGATCAGAAAGTGGCCTTTTCACAAGGAAATGTTGTGAATTATAATAAAGACACTTAGTATCACAATGCAGACTAAATGTACAGAGGCCTGGAATATTAGGAAAAAATATTTCATTTGTAAAACCTCATTGAATAGAAGGCAGATTTTGTTTTAATGCAAAATACATTTTCTGGTGTACCACTTTTCCACGTAAGCTCTGTAGCTGGAAGCAGGGGTAAAAACCAAAGAGGGAGAAGGAAGTGATTTCAGCAACTTCATAGAAAGTAAGTCTGAACTTATCTTTTTTTGTGGGGAGTGGGGGAGGGAAAAATACCCTGTTACTTGGTCAGAGTATTCCTGACTGTTTCTAATTAAAATATAAGTAGCTTGTAAAACATACCTCCCTGAATATTTGAGAAAGAACTACATTGACCAGCTTCTTCAGCATATTAAAATAAATTGTGAGGCAGTTCTGCAGTTTTTGCTTAAAAAGTCAAGAATACTCACCTGCAAGCAGGTTTTGGTGAAATCACATGATACTGTCTTTTTACCATTATAAGCTGTTGGGGTTTTTTTTAAAAGAAAGCCACCAGGAAATGGACCTTTTTATAAAACAGATATATTTTATAAAACAGATATACTAGAACGAAGTTTCTAACTGCTCTGGAGCAATAATTAACTTCCATCTTCACACTGTAAATGTAAATGGTTTTATGAGGCTCAAAATTAGAATATTTTTCTGAGTAAAAAAGGGAAAATCAAACTTATTTCTGTCTGCAAGAGAGAATCACTTGAGCTGGATGTAAAGCTTATGTAGTCTAATCCATTCTGCCCATCAATAGCAGGAACAAAGCAAACAGGCACTAGTGAAAAATGGAGAAGCTGCCAATAATTTCAGCACTACTAATGAGACGGTATTAATAATAACTCATCCTGGTGACCCCTGTAATGCTTGTTGTAGGTTTAATGTGGCATGTCAAATGGTAAACTGATGCCTGGCTGGAGGCTGAGAATTGCAGAGCATCTCAAAACATTTTCTAGGGGAATAAACCAGATTCAGGAACTGTGACACAGGTAAACAAGCCAAATATCAAGGCAATATCTTCAGAGTTGTGTCTTCTACCAGCAGCCTGGGCACTGAAACCATACTATCAGGGTTTCAATCCAGTGTGCTGCTGCTGGGAGGGGACTTATATGTGACTTATATGTATGTATGCACATACACTTGTATGTGCACAGCTACACTGTTTTAGGGGTGTAGTCTGCTAGGGGGATGTACTGGACATGGGTGCTTCCTACATGCCAGATCTTCTGAGAAATGTGGGATTTCTGGTGTCCTTTGGATAGCTTACCGCTGTGTCAGATTACAGGAGAAACTCTGTACCATGAGGGTGGTGAGGCACACTAAAACAGGCTACACAGGGAAGCTGTGGATGCCCACTCCTGGAAGTATTCATGGCCAAGTTAGATGGGGCTCTGGTGTAGTGGAAGGTGTTCCCTGCCTGTGGCAGAGGGACTTGTAACTAGATAACATTTAAGTTCCCTTCAAATCCAAACTATTCCATGCTTTGTGGTAAATTTGGCCTTAAATACACATAGTGATGGTGTGCAGACATTGCAAGACCAATGCTCATATTTGGTGGTTCATTTTAGGTGGCTGAAGTGAAGGGGTTTTTCTTCCTGAGACTGGAGTTTTCTTCACTCATTGCTGGCCAGTGCAGAGAAGCCAAAACTAAGTTTGGGTTTTCTGTTCAAAGCATGACATTGTTGCTGTTGCTGTAACAAGAATGTACTGTGGTGGTTTTACTGGATATAATGCCATGTTTCTAAATGTGATTTTTCAATCTGCAGGTTTCTAGTTCTGAACACTGATAATGGCTAGATAAGAACAGACCTCTTGACTGTTTTATTAAAAACTTACAGTAGCTGTTATTAAAAAGTCTATAAATATAGTATTCAAAACTTCAACACACACTTTATGACCACCAAATGTTTACTTTATGATCAGGGTAATAATGTTATTAGATATAATATTATGGATCTTTATTTTGTTTTGATGCACAGACATATGCAAATAACTTACATTAGCATGTTTATGAGTGAAATTTCAATGGCAAGTTTATTAATAAATCCTTGCATAGTGTTCAGACTGATAACATTAGTTCCCTCTACCCTTTGATTTGGGCAGCAAATAATTTTATTTTTCTCCCCCTAGTTGTCAACTCTGAATTGATGACAGATTGGAACAAATAGCACATGGCTGCAGAATGCCTAAAGCTACATTTTGTTGATAAATTGCTGGTTCAGATCCATTGTGGGTTGGGAAGTGAGCAGTGACCAAAGATCACATTGAAAGATGCCTTACTGGTCTGTGAGAAATAAGATCCTAATGTGCCCTGCAGCACAGGCACTTGGGGAGGGACACAGGCAGGGAGAAACTCATGAGTATGCTGTGTTTTACTTTCTCTCTAAATATCTTCTGGAAGATGGCCTTGCTTTCATTCACAGGCAGGGTTCACGATGGCAGGGCCTGTGGCAGCATGTGATGTGAAACACAGGCTGCAGCGTAGTGGGGGTGTGAAGCTCACATTATTTGGCAATGTGTTGCCTGTGAGAAGAAAATAGGTACAGAGGCTGAAGCATCTTTGTAATCTTGAGCTGCACTGAGTCTGAGGAAAGCATCCTTTTCCTCTGCAGACAGACTGGGGCCCAGCTGTTGGGATTCCAGCAAAAAGTACAGGGGGTGCAGGCTGTACTGTCCTGGGAGACAGCAGGGAGTACGATCTGGGACTGCTCTCACTGAAGGGCACTGCTGGCTGCCAATGCCAGCCATGTGCCAGGGATGGAAGGGAGCAGGAGAGCTCAGGGACAGTGGTGCTGGGTGACTTGTGGTTGAGAGGAAACTGGTAACTAAAGAGAGCTCAGACAGAGCTCAAGCACCTGGACCACCTTTGTTCTTCAGTGTCCTGCTGTTTGTGCCCTTTTTAAATATAGACCCTTTGGAGTTTTGAAAATGCTCTCTATAACGGTTAAAGTTACAAGGGGAACATTATCACAGATCTTCTAAATGTGCTTTAAAAGTTTGAAGTTGTTGAGGTGTCCAGCTGAGGTGCTGCATTAACAAAACCCTTACAGCTCAGGTTCTGTTTGATAAAGCACTTGTGAGCACAATTCTCTAACACCAACAGTGCTGGAAAATATTTGCAAACGCTTTGTTTGTACAACCTCTAAATTCCATAACAGCACAGATACCCAGTATATAGCCTGATAAGTGTTTCTCATTCTAAGCTGGTTTCTTTCTTTGCTTGAGTATGGATCCCACACCCTGGAGAGAAAGCAGAGTTTACTGTTCAATTAGAAAATTTTATTTTCTTGGGGGCAGCATTGATCTCCTGGACTGTTATGTTATCTCTCACTGTCTAATCACAGAAAATCTGTTGCTTGTACAGCAGGCCCCGACTGAGTGTCTTTTAAAAAGGCAGGATATTATTTCTGTGTGTAGAAGAGGGTTTGGAACAACAGGGGTTTGCGTTTGGCATCTTGCTGATTAAACTTCGTCGAAAAAGACAAGTCTGCTTAGCCTAACTAGGAGATAGAGGAAGGAAAGAGCCAAAGGGCATTACTTTTTTTTTATTGCATAATTGGACCTGATTTGATTCAAAAACAATGGTGCACAGCTATGAATCAGGCAATATGCTACTGCCTTGAGCTACTTCTGCTGATATTCTGGTCAGAAAGTCAAGAAAGACAATTAATCCTCACCTCTGCTATCTTGCTGTCTGTGGAGCAACTAACCAAAAAAATAATTAGCTAACAGTTTCTTACCTGAAACCAAAGTGAGAATCCATTTGAGAGTCCCTGTGACAGATGCATAAAAAAAAGGTTTGCTGTTCCTGATTGCTCTATCAGTCTGGAGAGTACCCAGATTCCCTACACAGACCCATGCTGTGGATTGTTTGGGAGAATGTCCAAAGGAGTTGGACTTCAGTGATCTTTGTGGGTCTCTTCCAGCTCAGGAAATTCTGTGATTGTGTTTTCATTCTGCCCCTTCACTTGTCATCTTTATTCTAAAGTTCCAGACGTGACCTTGCTTTTAAATATTTGAGTGAGTTTAGCCTCACACAGGATGACATTTCCCAGAAAATATAGCTGGTTATCAAGATCCCAGAGCATATGTGCTTCCTGGCAGTTGGCTGGTTGCTACTTCATGGACATCAAATAGAAGAGGGGAAGTAGAAATGACAGTTTGGAGTTTGCAATTGATTTGATCAGTTTGCTCCTAGGGATGAAGGACTTTATGAAGAAGTTTGGCAAAACGAGGTTTGGGGAATTTGATGAGTGTTTGAGGAAAGTGCTGGCAAGCAGATGGGCTAACAGCAATAAAGGGGAACTGACAGTGTAAATGAGTTAAAAAGAGCTAGGAGTGGGAGCACTGACCACAAAGATGAGTGTGGACTAGAAAAATCAGTGTGCTGTCATCCCAGTGATCCCTAGTCAGTCTCGTCCCAGGCTGAGATACAGATATGCCATGTTTTTTTCCTCTATAATGAGTTCTGCCAAGAAGACCAAGCATTTGAAAAGCTTGGGTTTATTATAAGTCTAAGCCAGGAAAATGAACATGGTAAAACTGAAATCTTTGGCTGTGGAAGACAAAATAGGGCTTAAAAAGAGATTGTGAGTAACTCTTCCCTATGCTACTTCACGGGAGGTAAGTGCTTTCAGGCTCTGTCTCATTCAGCTCTCCTGCCAGGTGAATTTCAGGAGTGTTGGCCAGCTGTGCCTGCTCCCGGGTTCATGCTGGGGACATCCTGTGCGGCTGCTCTTATCCTCAACCCTGCCGGAGGCTGTGCCGAGTTTCGCTCCGCCGCGGGATATCCCGGGCGGGAAGGGCCCCGGGAGCGCTTGGCCCAAGCCCCGCGCTCGGGACAGCGTTGCCGTGAGGGCAGGCCTGGAGGCGGCCGGGCTGGGCCCACAGGCCCGGAAAACCAAAGACGGAGCCTGCAGGGCTTCACCGCGAGCTGTCACTTCCCTGTTCCCGCTGGGGAAAGTGCGTGTGGGTGTCCCTGCCCCGGGAACAGCGCAGGGTACGTGGGTGAGGAGCACGAAGGGTTCGGCAAGCACAGGCAGCGCCGGGGAAGCGGCGCTGGCCCCGCGGTAGCCGGGGCAGTGGCGGCAGCAGCTCCGCTCCCGCACGGGCTGGAGCCGCTGCCCGTGGGTAAACACGCGGGCGGGCCGGTTAGCTCAGTTGGTTAGAGCGTGGTGCTAATAACGCCAAGGTCGCGGGTTCGATCCCCGTACGGGCCAGAGCTTTTGCCCGTCCCGATGCCGGCAGTCCCTCGGCTCCAGCGCCCCAGCGCCCGCGGGAACAGGACACCCACTGATGGGAGAGAGCAGGGAACGGGTGGGGAGGGGAAGCCAATCAGCCGAAAAGCTACGGGGAAAGGAAAGTGTAGTGTGTGGAGGAAGTGCCCGGAGGGATGTTTTCAATCTCTCCGTGGCTCCTCACCAAAGCAGTCCGTGTTTTGCCCCGGAGCGCTTTGCTCAAGTGCTTCTGTTAATTAGCGTAAGGCCAAAAGAAAGGTTGTAGGAATTCAGAACGTCTCCCAGTCATGTGAATAGGCCCAGGGAACTAAAATATCAGGTCTACAGCTCATTGTATTAATGTGACTCTTCGATAGCTCTCTGTCAGGGGCTGGGAGATGCTGAAGAGAGTGGGGTTTTGTTTTTCTTACTTTGAAGCAAGAAGACGAGCAGATCTCCCTTGACAGCCCTTTTTTTTTCATAGAAGGTTCTGAACTCCATATAGAAAGTATCCAAATTTGACAGACACACTGTGAGTCTTAATTTTTATAGGTGTGCTATTTATTCAAGGAAAAATTCCATGCCAAACAGGTATTCTAATGGATCACTAGACCTGCAGGAGTGGCCAGGAAGCACCTCTGCCAGCTCAACCTGCCTCTGTAAGTTTTCTCTCTAAGAAACTTGAAACTCAAGACAGTTCTTATTTTGCTCCCATCTGCCTCAATATTGAAACGAGACTCCTCCAGAGGAGGGAAACTTCCTGGCGTAAATGTTTTCATTGTAGAAACCACTGATTTTGTTATCAGAGCTGCAATGTGACATGCAGGTCACAGCTTCTTTGGGAAAATGCTTTGAGGTAACAGCATGCTATTGACTTCTTTTACATATCTGCTAATGTGTCCCTTTACTATTCAGGCCTGTTGCTTACATCTTCTTCCAACTGCAGGGGCTGATTCAAAATAAGAGATAATGATAATAATGGTAATAATAATAATAATGATAACAACAACAACAACAATAATAATAATAATAATAACAATAACAATAATGTTGTTGTGGGTAATACTTCATGTCAGAGTTCTGTCATTACTCATTCCCCACAATGTTACTAAAGTACCACAAGGGCACATTAGAAGTGTTACTTCAAAGTCACAATGTAACTTGTAAATCATAAAGATGAATATTCATGTTATCTAGCATCCAGACTGCTGTCATGGCTCCATCAGATGTCACGGGAGAGTAATATAGCTCTGGTTTGATGACCTTCTGTCTTGCCACTCCACTCAATGATCTTCCTCAATTCCTTTGGGTCTAGTTATGGTGGCCAGGACTTGACTATGTATAATAACATCCATTTAAAATGAACTGAAAGGAAAAAAACCCCATGGTGTTCTGCTTCAGGAAAAAAAATAAAAATTAAAAATCTGGAAATACTATTGCTTTGTTTTACATTTCCCACATAAGGAATCAGCTATGTAATTTTTATTACAGCTATGATGCTGTATTGCAAAGTCCTTGCTATAAAACCAAGGTAATGCAATGGCTCCTTGGCCACTTTTTCAGTTTGGTTTGAATTGCTTAAATTCTGTGTGGTTCTTTGCCAGGCAGGACATATTTTCCCTAAATTTAGTTTCAGCAGATGGTTGTCAGATTGTGAGGGTCAGCCATTGTCCCTAGGGGAGTCATTCCAGAGCCTGTTGTTCAACCTCAAAGCTAGTTGGAGAATAAAAAGAGGTTAAACAAACAAGCCCATCTAATGGAATAATGGTCTCATGAGGATGGACCAGGAATTTCCATTCTGATGCTCTGCAGTGGCAGATGCTGGGGCATATTCTGGGGTTACTGCTCAGTGTTTTGTTTAACCTGTTACTGGATTGCACATCAAGGCCAAAATGGGTCTCAGTTGCTGCATGCTTAAAAAGTGTGGGGTGACACACAGCTCCTCTGTCCACAGCAGGCAGTGATGGGGAGGATGAACCTCTTGCTGCCTATGGCAATTCTAAGTGATGACAACTGAGGGGGAACCTTCTGATCAGTCCAGTCCAACCTCTTCAGTCACTGTTTCTGAGTATAAGCTATTCTTAGACTTATTATTAGCTATTAGCTAATTATTAGCTATTCTGTCTAGAGTTACAGAGACCAAGTCAACTAATTAGTTTCATGTTCTTCACTGTGATGTCTACACTTGTCTTTGCATGAAATACTACCAAGAGGGCTCTTAACTCCAAATATTTGAAGGTGGCAAGAAAGTGGGTTCACGGAGCATTCAATTCAGTAGATGAGTATTCATTCACTCAGTGATGTTCTGAAGCATTTTCTTGTCCAGCCACATCACAGGTTAGTTTTATAATTTCTTATATTGTGTTTTTTGCTAGAATATCTAAGTGTTTTGCCATTGGGATTCTTTATTCATTCAGCTTTCTTTTGAGGGTCTTAATTATAGTGAGAATCTGAGTGGCAAGGATTGATCGGGTATATCAATACAGCAATGCACAAATGCAATCCAGAAAGATCATTTTTTAAATCAAAGGCAGGATGTGGTAGAAGGAGCTGCTCTTTAGATTGATTTGTGTGCAACAAAGTTGTAAGTATTAATGCTATTATAGATGAAGCTTAACCTTTGCTTAAAGCTGAGGAGTGTAGTGTTTACTTTCCACATGTTAGGGGAAAATAAAAAAAATAAAAGAAAAGAGCAGCTCTATCAAAAAGCGCGATCCTGTCCCGAGCCCAAACAAAGGTTCTCATTTAGTGTTGTTATGAGCAGAGATGCAGGTGGGAGAGGGATGAGGAAGTGCCATAGAAACAGGCATGGGAAGGAGCCAGCAGCCAAGAATGTGGCTGAATGGGCACAGGCAACCCAGCTCTGTGAGCCTGGGATCTGGCAAAAAGCAGCCAGGAGCTGTAAGGAAAAGCCCAACAACCAGCCCCCTGTTTGGGTCCTCCAGTGTCTCAGAAATTAGGGTTATTCAAGAAAGGGGACAGCATGACAAAGACACTGGCTTCCACTTTCTTTGCTACTCAAATAATAAGGACCCTGCTCTTTTATCTTGCAGTTCACATCAAAACAGAGTACCTATATTCACTGCTGAAGCTGAAGAAATATCTTCAAATTGGTATTTCTTAGAAAGTAATTGCTAAAATGAAATATAAGTAAATATGAGTAACGTGTTAAAGCCAGAGAAAGTGTGATGGACTGGACTTGAATAAGAATCAAATCTTTGCTCTTGATATAGTCTGTAGAAGGATTAAGTAACTTTTTAAACAAAGTATGTAGCAATTTGTGCCACAGTTTTGAACTAATGCCTGCCTGTATAGTTATTAATTTTAAATAGCTAAACAGTCATTTTTTCACTGTGCAGGAATTCACCATCAATGCCCATAGTACAACAGGGCCATGTGGAGAGCACCAATTTTTCACTTTAATCTGTGCCATATACAAACAGGTGAAAGCCAACAGTGAAAACATCTGGCTTCAGGTGTGAGTTTGTACCTGTTTTAAAAAGAATAAATCAACTTCTCTTACTAGATAAGCAGGAACAGCTATAGCTGTACACCAATGCTGTGTGGTGAGAGGCAAGTGTTCAGTTTAATCAGTATCTAGTCATTATTTCACAGGGGAAGTAAGCTGGACATAACATAACCTTTGCCAATATTCTCTCAGAGTTTAAAAGGAAGCATGTTAAAGTCTGGGTATGTTTTTGGTTTTTTTTTATTTTTGCAGATGAAGAGGAATAGAATTTTTAAAGACAACATGGATGCATTTTGCTATGTCATTTTTGTCATTAACAATGTGAGGAACAGTGAAGAGCAGTGTGGCAAGTCTGCAGTTTGATATGCTCAGGCTTGTGTGGAAGAACTGCACTGCTTCAAGGGGGACAGAAAATGGTGGGACCTAATATTTGGAAGGCTCATGATGCTGAGCAGGCAGTACAGTTTTTCTACTTTCTATCTAAGGCTAACTGAATCATAGTTGGCTAATATCCATCACAAATTTTAGAAGGAAATAATCCGATATTCTATTAAATAGTTAAAATGCTACACGGGATGCAGACTAAAGCAGCTTCTCATTTGTCTTCCTAATGCTTTCAGGGACAGAAATTCTGACTTTTTCTGGGCTTAAACCTAAACCAGAGCGGGCAAGACAAGGTGAAGATAAAATCCCAGGGTCCTGACATCGACTGTCCCTGGTGGTAGCCAGGAGCTCATCCTCCTTCCTCGTACACATTCTTCTGAACAAATCTTGAAAGCAGAGAGCGAGAGGGCAAAGCAGGACAGGTCTCTGGTATGTCACTGCACACACCTGACAAACCCTCGTGGCACATTTCACAGAAAGCTGCTCTGGCACTGAGCTAGACGGGGCAGCTCACGCTGTTGTGGTGTGGGACAACTGTCAAGGTGGGTTAGTTTTAAGAAATGAGCATCTGATGCTTGAAGCAGTGCTTACCAAGAAAAGCCCTTTGGCTACAGTTTCTGTCACTTGGACTGTATTGCTGAGAACTTGTTCAGTCTGCAAGGAACAGCAGGGGATTCCCCTGAGGGTCCAAAATTTGGCATAGAAAAAGACATTAGAGTTTTTGTGGCTTTTATCTTCAGCCACAGAATATTCAAATATCTGGTCAGTCCAAAGTAAAAGTGTTGGGTGCCCATGTCATCTTCTCAGTTGTGTTCGAAATGTATTTTCTTTTTGGCTAGAGCTAGCTTTGAATTTCTTGTGTTGGCTTAGTGAAGACTTCATGTGAAGCCTGGGTGGGAGAGCTGAAGAAAATATGTTTTAAGAAGCAATTTATTTGAGGCACACAGGAAAGGCACAGGCAATTGTCACGCACCCAGTGAAGTTTCTATAGCTTCTTCATGTGTTATGATTTTTAAAAAGAACAGCTTTTTGGTGATGAAATCTGCTCTCAAATTATTAAAAATGTTTTTAAGAAGAAAATCTTCCTGCCTTCCACTTGAGAATGACTTTTCTGGTTTTACCCTCCTATATGAAAATTGAAAAACTGAATAAAATGAAAAAAATACAATTGTGTATTTTGCAACAAAATATTTAACTTCAGCAAAACCAATGAAGTGAGGACCAGCATCTACCTGAGAAATAATTAAAAGACAGAAGACAGGTTCTCAATTCTGCTTTTGACTTCATGTCTAGGCCTTCAATTCTTTTTTCCATCTTTACCCATCTGTAAAGAAAGGGAAAATACCTATCCTAAATAGGAAATGCTCTTGAAGTCAACAGAGAAGTGCATCAAAAATCCATCCCTCTAAAAGAAAAGGTGGCTACATTACTGTATTCCAGCTGTACAGCAGCAACCTTTTGGGCTCATCTACTCACCTTCTACTGGTAGGTGAGCCAATAAAGAAAGTAACTCATCTGGTGATGAGTTAAAAAAATATTAGTCATTAGAATCTGTTCAAAGTATGAATTTATTTCTGCTAGACCAAAAGCATACTGAGATTTCCTTAGGGTTATAGGACTTTTAAAAGTGGAATTTTCTGCCTAATATTAGTTTTAATGAGGAAATTGGATTTTCTCATTTCATGTGTATATACTTCAGTTCTTCTCCAGCTTTGTTCTCTAGCTGATAGGTTTGCAACAGCTCTGCCAGAAATGTAAAGGGTAGGTTTTCTTTTAAGCAGCTGAGGCTCTAAGGAACTGATATTGAGGCAGTAGACACAGAATATGTTTTTGTTATATTTTGGTGGATATATGGACCAGTCTTCTTTCAAGAGTACTTTGGAAAGTAATTTCTTCTTAGGGAATGAATCTGGGGTACAGTAACTCTGGCATTTTGTGTGCAACGAGGACAAGAAAGAGATTCCACTGCCTGTATTTACCTTCTCATCTTATTTTGTCCCTTTTTGGATAGCTAGTACAGGAACAAGCAGCTGAAGGCAGGCTGACTGGTTTGAAGTTTAATTTTTTTAATGATGAAAAAGTGAGACTGCAGAGATAAATAACTAGAGAACTCCAACAGATTGTTCTCTTCAGATCTCAGATTATGTTCCTAGCTCACATGATGCATATTTTTTCCCTCCTCCCACCATGCTAGTGTCACCTGATCCTAAAAAGTAAAGTTATACTGCTGTGTAAATCACAGATGAAAATTATTCTCCAGTTATTTCTTGTCATACCTAGCAATCTTGTTAATGCTAGATGCTGGACAGAATCCATTTTACTCTTTGACAAATGTTATGGGTCTGCAAGGGAAAAAATGGCACCTGAGTTTTGTCAGAGGTCTAGTGAGGCTTATACAAAATAAAAGGATGGGCTTTGTAGAGTGAGACTTTACCTCTCCTCTGGGCCAGTTCTGTGTTCTGGCTACAGTTGACCTTTTGTTTTCTCCTTCACAATCAAAAGCAAAACTGATTGTAGATTTGTGTCATTGATTGCCAGCTGGTAAAAAATTTGAGGAAAATATCATGATTATAGTGATCAGTAAGGAAGGGAAGGTCAATTGGAGGTGGTGGGAGTCCAGAATAGATTCAACCATTCTTACTGTTCTTTCACTCACTGCAGATAAAACTCTGGCTGTACCTTAGCTCATCTAAGTGGGGGCATGATGGAAAATAGCTCTCCCTGGTTACTGATTTGGGGTGGAGGCTGTGGTGTCCTAAATGGACAGAGAGATCAGCCAGAAGCCTCATGGCCTTTTCCTTCTCTTTTCCAGCGTTGTATAATGGTATCCTGCACTCGACTTGTACCAGAAGAGTCATTAAAGATCAGAAGTGTATAAACTCAGGAAATCTCAGAAGAGGGAAGGTATAAAATTCTGTTCAGACACAACTCTTCAGACTCCCAGAAAAAATTATCATGTCATTAAGTTTCTACAGGTGATATCCCAGCCTCTTGTACCTACCTAATGGAGTTTCCTTCTCAGTTTTCTGGAGAGAAAATGCTGTCCAAAGCTTCATGCTCTAAATTCTCTTTGAAGCCAAAATGCCACCCAGGAGGACCTTGACACATGAACAAATAATAATACATATATTTCAGTGAGTGGAGATGGGCATCTTCATTTGCAGTATTGTTCTGATTCCACTGTGTTAACTATGGATATTTGAGGTTTTACCTGTCCTGACTTGGAGCAAACTGTTTATTTTAAAAAGAATTACACTTAAAACCCAGATTTGGATCTGTCCAATCTGTTTTGACTTCAACTCTCTTAAAAGATAAATAAAAATATCTAGTGCAACATCACCCTCTCCAAATTTCTAAACTGTTGAGATACTTGTGTGGCTAAACAATGACAATTTCCTGGATGTGAGATGGAAATTTTATTTATACTAGGAATGTTTTAATGAGGGAGCGTTTTCAGAACTTTATTTTTTGATTGCGACATTTCTGGTTGGTTAAATTCTCTGCGTCATCTAATTTTTGAATGAAAGGATATCTCTGTCATTTTTAGATTAGTGATATTTACAAAATTGTGATATATCTAAATGCTGTAACACTTCTTGACCACATCTAGGTGTTGATGGAAACAGCTCTACAGTGCAGCAAGAAATGTTTTTCATCACCTCTAAAATGACTTTGTCTCAGAAGTATTGACTTCCAGTCTAATCACTTTAGAATGGTCTTCAACTGCACTTGAATTATCTGCACATTTTGCAATTGCTTAGTCTCTTCCTATTTTCTCACAGAGATTTTATCATAATTATTTCTCTTGTTTTTATGATTTTGAAACACTTGATCTTCTGTAGCTTGCGCTGATGTTCTCTTTCAGTCTGAAACAGGAATCTTGAACCCCTAAATGATGCTTGTCCTCTCTGTTTACAGTTGCTTTAGTATGTGTATAGTTCATGTTCTGGTTGGGCACTGCCACGGGTACCCTTCCTGACTAGCTCTAGGTGTGCACATTTGACAGCTGAAATCGTGCTCTGGTTGACATTGATCTCTCCAGCCTGTTAGGCAAGTCTGCTAGATTCTAGTTTTAGTTTGTAAATCCTTTCCTGACACTGAGATCTAGGTCAGTGATGTCAAACTTCATTTGGTGACTTAAGTAGGCACCAGTGGCCATGAGCTACAGTACTGGTGAAAATTAAACTTAGCACCCCACACTAAAGTGTTCAGTGTATCTGTCATACTGTGAGATAATTGCTGCTGTTTTCTTTTGTAATTACTGCACGTAATTAGATATGACATCAAAGCTCTCTTGATCTCCAGCTATTCAATTTTAATCACAAGGAGACTCTGTAATGGTACATCTCTTTTGGGCACCTAGTGCAAGTGAAAATAACCTCTTGGAAGTTCAAATGACAAAATATTTTACTCCCAGATTCCCCAACAAGTGAGGGTCTACACTGTGGTGCTGTACAGGAACTCCTTGTTTTACAGCACCTTTACCATGACTTTAATTAAAAGTACATATGAATTAGAGATGCCTCTAATTCCAATTAGAGGTTGGAATATGTGAGTGAATGAGCAGTAGTGGTTTATACCAATTTCCCTTGTTTCTTCCCTTAATACTTTGGTCTGGAATATCTGTGGTACAGTGTGCCAATTTTTTTTCTGTCTCCTAAACATATGAATATTCAGTCCAAGATTGTCTGCTACATGTCTGGTGCTTCTTCTAACACATTTCCTTTGGGTTTTTTTTTTCATGCTTCTGAACCCAAATCAACCTGGGATCCTGGATTTCATATCTCCTTACAAACTTTTACCTCAACACTTTGCCCTCCTATTGCCTGGTCCTACCAATTCACACCTTAAACAGGCTTTCTTCCTGTGTACACCTCTAATCCTTTACTGTAAAATATACTTTGGGTTGTAAAGATGAATACTTATTTGAAGCCAAAATGTTATCTTTGAATTCTTTGAATTAAACATTTAAAGTCTGACATTGACTCTGTCCAGCTATGCAGGCTTTGTAGCTGTTACTTCTGTGCAGATCACCTGTTTTCTTTTCTATCTTTTCCCCCATGTTGAAACGTGTTGCAACTCTTCTGTTTCATTGAAGTGTATCACACACTGAGGGCAGGTTCACACCTGGAGGACTGTGAAGTGTAAAGCCTGGTATTATCAGTCTCCTTAGGCAGTTGGTAGCTGCTGTGTGTTTTGTCTGGGGCTGGTTTGCAGTTCTTTCCATCTGACACTAGCTCTCAAAGGCTTTATGCTAGGAATAGCAGAAGAGAGAATTATTTTCTATTTATAACATCTGAAGAAGGGAAAAAACATTTACATCTGTGAGGGTTTTAGAAAATTTCTCATGCGTTGTAGGTATAGTTCAAATGCTAATGCTGCCTATATATTCTAACACAAAATTTAAAAAAGAATGAGATGACTTTCTTCTAGACTGGACTTTTTTTCCCCTCAAAGCGAGAGAGTAGCTATTACAGAGGAGTGAATTTGTAACATTCATCTTCCTTACATAAGTAATTTTTCAAAGAATAGAATATTAATGGGACATCAGAAGATCCCTGTTTAGGTGGAGAGCGAAAAGGGAAGCAAATTCTGAGAAATTTCAGTTTTCTGCTCCAAATGTCAGTGCAACTCTGCATTACAATGCAGCACACACCATTCACACCTAAAAGCCTCTGTTCTGAGGTTCTACAGTTTTCATCAAATGCCCAGACAGCATCATAACCCTCTGCAAGCTTGCACTGAATAGGCTGGCAATGATCCAAATGCTGGCAGAAGCACTTGCACAAACACAAAATGTTAGCTTTTTCTTCTCTTTATTTTCTGCCAGACACAATTCAGCAGCATTCCAGATGACAGGCCTTCTGTTAAGTAAGGGGAAGGGAGTGATGAATGTCTTCAGAAGGGAAATTGTGCTGCTGTGGCACCGGTAAAGCATGGTCTTCCTCTCTGGTTGGTTCCAGCCCCAGCTGGTTCTACTTAGCTGCCTGATTTAAATGATCAATGATGATCAAGCCCATCCTGTTTGCTCACAGCCTCAAGGCCTTTTAAGAAGAACCCAAAATGACTCCAGTGATCTGAGGAGGTAAAGGGGGGGGGAACCAAGTTAGTGCTGGGAAAAGGGGCAGAGTAGAGGGGGGAAAACCACTGTTGCCACAGCTAAATATGTACCATCCCTTCATGCTGCATCAAATTACACTGCAGGATGTTTTCAGTTAAAACTTTTTTAGTAGCACAGGGTTTTGTTTGCCTCTGTCATTTAGGCCCTCTCTGTAACTTGAAAATGAGCTGTGATGCTGACATAGCTGTGGGGACTTTTTTGGCTTTCTGTGTGGTCAAAGGGTAGATCAGTGTAAGGAGGAAAGAAAACCAGCTCTTGGTAAATTTTCTTCCAGAAGAAGTGGAGGAAAGGCTGATTTATCTCCAGTAAAGTTGTTGATGAATGTCCCACGTATTTAAGTCCTATTTTTAAAAGTATAGGATGAAAAGATTTGTTTCTGAATAATACCTATTATACAGGGGTTTTTATGCCACTTCCTCTTCTGTTCTTTGTCCAGCAGGAGTGAGAGGGGCTGAAGAGCACTAGTGTCCTAGGAACTGTTGATTCTCCTCTGAAAATCACAGTAGATATCACTTAGAGTGACTTTGCATTTCATCAAGGGATGTGTAAAATTTCACTACCACCAAAAAGGAAAAGCTACAGAAATATACTTTAGTCTGCTTATTTTTCTCATTCCCTGCAGACAGGTACTGTAGAGTCCTGAAGAGAACAGGGCAGTAATATCAGTGTAGAAGGATTAAGAGCAAATGGTCAAACCTAATAAATATAATTTATTAAAAAAATAGAATTTAAACCCAATCTTACTGCATTTTGCTGTAGGAAAGGTCACTGTAGGTGACACATAAGGTCTGTCTGAATTTAAAGACCTTGGTCTTAGACCATGCATGAATTTTCTGTGTGTGTCCTACTTGACAGCTAGGAGCCATCCATGGGCAGTGTCCTTCCTGCTGTTGCCAGCACAGCCTTTGCCTCTGATGCTAAGCAGTGCTCCTGGCAAGCACAGGCTCTTGCACTGTTGCTGCTGTGGAACTAAAGGGTAGAAATTAGGTGTTACAAGCAAAACAAACTCTGATGTGACTGTGGAAGGTATAAGAGTCACAGAAATTGTGAATGAGGAGTGACTGCTCAGTGTCTCTCAACAGGGCTACAAATGTAACTCACTGGTGGTAGACCAAACCAAATGTGAGGCACATCCTCGCACAGCACACACTTAGAGTGCTCCAGCTGGTGCCACAATTTGCACGGTCACAGAAGTGGTTGGATCAGTTTGAGAAGGAAAGTCTGTTCAAGGAATTTTAAATGCAAAAATCCTGGGCAGCCCATAAGGTCTCTGCTGAGCAGAAAGGAAGAGTGGTACTACAGAAGCATCCCTACTTGTCAGCTCAGTTCCTAAGGTTCTGATGTTTCTATAGGTGGGCAGAAGACACTGGGTTGAGCAGACTTGAGCCTACATGCTCTTCTCACAAAACCCTGTACAAGACAGAAGGAAGATACAGAAGGTGGGGTATTTGGGATGTGTTTTTCTTTGAAGAAGAAAAAACAGCATTGACAACTGCTGTGGTCAAAGTCTGTACAGTTAATTGCTAATTGATTTCTTTTTTAATGGCTTAAGCAATAGATCTGTGCTAGACATAATTTTTATTTTATATAATACTTTTACCCTCCTTAAGGTGGTGATATTATGGTTTAAGGAAAAGTTTGTTTTTTTTTTGGAAGTGTTTGACTGTCCTATGTGTGTTTAAATGCATATGTATGTATGTATATTTACATGAACTTGAAAAATCAGTTGGTTTTAACTATCTTGCCATAGTAGTAGCAGCATCAGGTACATCTGTTTGTGACAGCTTCTTTTCCTTAAAGTGTGATGATTGCATAAGCTGAAGAGTAGCAAGTTAAAACTTTGACAACTTGAGCCTTATTTTATCCTTAGTTGAGTTATTCTGAAAATTCAGGGAATAACACAATATTCACCATTGGGGCTTTGTATGAGCTACTTGTGCTTGCAAAAACAAGACAAATATCCAAAATGTAGCTACCCTATGAAAACCCATTAATAATGTTTGCAAAGGAAGCAGGGTTAGGATAAGCTTTCTGAATTTCTATGGTTCCACAGTGAATCTGGTCATCTACAAGCTAAGTTCAGAGCACAGGAGTATACGTGGAAAAGATGTGGACAATTAAGTCCATTCTTCTACTGAAGGAAACAGCAATTAGATCATGAAAGTATTAAAATCACATTTTCTCTGGCTTCACATTATCCAGAAAAACTGATTTATGCTCTGAGTCACCAAGTTGTTCTTGTTGCCTGCCAGTTGCATGCACTTAACAGACAATTTTTAGAAAGTGATCAAGGTCTTCATCATTATTTAATAATAAAATACTAATTCATTGGGAAAAAACCAAAACACAACAGAGAAGGAAAAAGGGTAAGGTGTGTTGATGAGGAGACAGCAGATATTGAGGTCAACACTTCAGACATTTCCTTTGAATAAGAGCAGAAGCTGCTTTCGAAGGACACTTGAGTAAAGAAGAGAGACTTCACTTCGGATACTGACACTTGTGTTTGAATGGCATTTATGGACTTAAGTGCCTAGCTTTGAATATTCACATTTGAAGACTGTACTTTCTTTGTTAACAAGCTCATTGTACTAAGAGTTAACAATAGGATCTTACCAATTTTATTTTTTTTTTCTGTTTGCATTAGACCTTGAATAGAAAAGCTTAAATGACTGGGGTGGGAGAAAGAATGCATTTTGTAGCTGCATGATTTACAATAGTGGCCTGTTTCATCTGTATCATCACTATGTGAAGAAAGAGAAAAATGTGAGAAGCAGCAAGAATAGATCATTATAACAACAGTAGCAATGTTCTTTATCATTTTGGACTTGTCACTCTTTCAATGATTAGATACTTAGCCAATATATAATTGGTGGTATGTTTCAAAAATGAATGAATAGATTCAATGTTTTTTACATGCAAGCAAAAATTCTTAAAGATATTCTATAGGAGTTGGTTTTTTTTGAGTTTTGAGGAATTATCCAAACAATATTGGATTTTTTTTTTTATTCCACATTTCTTTTGATGTCAGGATTTTTTTTTTGGCCTAACCTTTAAAATATCTCTGTGACACTCCTGTAATTGGTTTATGTTTCTTTTGCCATTTACTATCTAGTTTGGAGATATGAAGAGGTTAACAGAGAAGATATTCCTCCCTATTTTTCCTTTCTATTTCCTTTCTTCTTCCCCATTTCATACTGCTAAGAGGAGTGCTAATATTAAAAATAGATGAGATATTGTTTTACAGTTGGTAATTCAGCTCCCCTTGTTACTAGCTGAATATTAATCTCTTTGATAATGCTTCTTGTTCTTTTTGTAACAAATCTTCACCAGTACTGGATGCTCTGTCAGACAGAGCCGGGGGCTTTGACTCTGTGCGTGCTTCACTGTACCATATCTGCATATATTTTCCTAGAATTCTCTTCCCAGGCAGAGGAACTGGGGACATGGGGGCATCCTGAACCAACAAGAGGTGATTTGTATTATTAGCATTTTTATTTGTATTTATTGTGTCCAGGCTTTTTCTGGCCAGTGGAAATATATCCATAATGTTCTGTGGCAAGGAACATAACTTGATGTTATTTCAGAAAACACCTTTGCAACTCCTACTTC